GGAATTGGCATCGGTAAACAGAGTGATGCTCATTTGGGTGCCGGGCCATAGTGGCCATGCGGGCAACGAAATTGCTGATGGGCTGGCGCGGAGGGGATCTGGGGCTGACTTTGTGCAGCCACTGCCTTTCGGCGGCCTGCCTTCTTACGCCGTTGGGGCCAGGCTTGCCTGCCTGCTCGCGCCGGAATGCGGCCGTCACTGGCGGGACACGAAAGGATGTCGTCATGCGAAAGTGTTTTTTTCGGCGTGCTCCAGCAGATTCACCGCAGAGTTGCTGGGGATGAGCAGGAGAAGGGTTCGCACTATTGCGAATTTCTTCACGGGGCACTGCCCAGTGAAGTACCACCTGTATAGGCTGAGGAAGTCGGTCTCCCCCATGTGCGGATTTTGTGGGGGTGGTGATGAGACCGCCGTGCACACTCTCTGCGACTGTCCGGTACTGGCTCTTCGGCGCCGCAATTGTCTTGGACATGGGTCCCTAAGTGTTCGGGAACTGTTGTCCAACTGCCTTAGGGATATCTCCGGCTTTGTTGTTGGGACGGGGATATTATAGGCGGGAGCGTGGAGAGGCTACAATAACTCAAAAATGGTTACGGTGGCTTGGGGGGTTACTCCTGTCCGACTCGGTTCCCTTGGAATCTACAATCTAAAGTAATAATATAAAGTTTATTCACTATTTACTCCAAAATAGCTTAAAATAAGCGCAGAACATTTGATCTTCGATAGAAAACATTTAAGCTTAAAAGCAATTAAATTGCTTAAAATAATTGAAATTTTTAATAAAATTTAAACAGATTTGGTGACTCAGATGTCTTTAATCTTGATCACAAGTGCTACGTGTTCCAATATACATGGCTTTATTTGTTATTCTAATTCTAGTTCCTCTGTATGGTTCTGCAAGAATTCTATCATATATCGCTCAATTCTGTTAATTATCAGTGATTTTAAAAAGCACTCAAGTTTTATCATTCAGTTTTTCACTAAGAAACTGTTCAGGAGACGGAGTTAAAGATTTCCAAGATAATATTTTCAACATCTAGTAAAAACAAATTTGAATAGTTATTGGATGAAACGGTGTTGTTTAAGATAAAAACAGCAAGCGTGTCCAAATGGAAATTCAACTTAGTTCCATTGCTTTCGTCAAATTAATTTTACTGGCGAACATGAACTTTGTTCAAAATAATGTCTGAAGCTGATCAAACCTAATAAGCCGCCTATTCAATAAAATGGCAAAATAAATCCGGTTCATGTAACTTATTTGGTCTTAAAATTAAGTGTTAAAATATTTATTTGATCTAAAACAGAAGCCGGTTATAAAAAAATTCAATTAATTTTTTTGTTGAATTTTTTTTTGTAGGCATGTTATGACATCTGTTTTCAGTTTATAAAATAATTTTTATAATACACCAATTCATTTAATTGTATTAAAATAGCTAGTAGCGATTTTTATTTAAATTTATTGCACCTGCAAAATAAATTATGTGGTAAATAAAATTTAAACGAATGTTATATTGTATAGAAATTCACTAGTTATATAGTAGTACGAAAACAAATTACATTAAGACACTGGATCATCACTCGAACACATTATATACTTATATTGAGCTTGTACAAAACATTATGTATGTATATAGTGTAAATGTTTGGAAAATTCAACTAATTTTTCATTATTTATATGCATATAGACTAAGCACTAAAAGATTAGCGAAAATGTTTTGGGGGCAAATACATTTACATATAGAAAAATTTTATCTCTATAATAATGCCATATACCACATCAATTAAATAAACCTTTACATGATTTGGTGCAAGTTAATAAAAAAAAAAAAATTAAATTATTTTTACTACTAAATTATTTACATAATGGTTTAACAATAATTTTATTATATCTAGTTATTTAGAAAATAATTTTTAATTGTCAAAGTAATCAGCTGTCCCTTTAAAATATCAGAAGGTAATACCCGAATTAAATGGTATAAATAAGGTCAGATAATTAGCATAAGTTTTAAATTAGTATTGAATTGGTTCACTAATATTATAGCAAGTATAGAAATTTGTGTATCATGTAATGTTGTAAAATTTGTTTTTAGTACTATTTAATAATAGTAAAATATTCCCACATTCCTTAATTGTTTTAATATCAATTTCTGTCCTGCATCACGATCAATTACAATATCTAGTTTTCTGAGCATAAGCTCAACCTTCAATTAACAGTCGTCTAACAAGACTACTTTCAGCATTCTTACTTGGTTCTTGCTCATTCTTTTAGAAACGTGTTCCAAAATACATTTGGCCTGTAAAAGCCTAGAAAAGTTGCATTCACGGTAAGGTTTCACAGGGGAGGCTTCACAAATCCCTGCCACTCTCGTGAACATTTCCACCAACAAGACCACTTCTGAATGCTGTCGGAACGCTACGGATATCCCTGCGACTCTCGTTATCTTATTAGACTAGCAGGTTTCCATTGTCCGCCTCATTTACTTGTCAGTAACACGTGTCGTGAGTTTACATATTATTACTCATAGTTCCGCTTCATATTCACTTTTATCTGAATATTTTCCGCAGAAAAATTTATAATTTTAGAATGATTAAATGCTAAATATTAAAATATTATGTAAAGAAAGTGATAGCTATAGTGAATCATCTTTTATATTTTATTACTTATTTAGCTTTCTTATATACTCAAATCAACTTAGTAATTTTGAAGCAATCATAATTTTTCTACATTTTCATTTTTATTGTTGTTCTAAAGATGACATTTTATTAAAAATAGTTCTGTTCCATTTAAAAATATTAAAATTTTGTATTATGAAATTCAAATTTATTTCCTTTTCAACTTATTTTTTTTTTAGAAATATTTTATTTTAATAATTTAGTAAAAAGCTATTGTTCTCTTGAATTCTTTTGTCAGTGAAAGAAAGCACAAGAATAACAAATCTTTTAATAAAATTGCATTTTTTTTTCTGGCTATTTTATAAGGCAGCTACATGGAATTTTTTTATTAACAAAACTATGCACGCATGAAAATTAAATAAAATTCGACATTTATAAAAAGAACCTTGATGTGCACTTGTAAGAATTGAAAAAAAATTAATTGGGTTAATACTAACTCTTAGATTTTAGTTCATTACCAATATTAGGAATTAAGAATGCAATTAATATAGTACTTTTAAAGAATATCATTATGGAATTAGGCTTTCAAATGACATTTTACAATCATGGTACAGAACGATGATAAAAAAAGTACTCAGAATTTTTAACGATAACTTAAACTGAAATTTAGAACCTCTTCAAATTTGTACACAAGTAAGAAATTTTTTTAACATTTTGAAATATATTACAAGATTTGAATAAATTTTCTTCTTTTAAGTTGAATAATTAAAGGGAGAGGAGGGCCGAAATATTTTAATCATAAAAATTATAAGATGGTGCTGCGCGCAATCGGTATAATGTTGGGTAATATTTTTATGCAAGCTCCAGCTTATTTGGAAATTGCCGCTGTGATAATTGAACAACATTTTGCATTTAAAACACTACTGATTATTGTTATAATTTATATAAATTCTAACTATCTACCATTCAAAAATTTCAAGAAAAAGTTCGTAATTACCCGCACTTGTTTGCTCTTATTGTTAACATAAAAATAAAGTGTGTATACTTGTGACCGATTAGGCTTTTTCATTCATTGTTTAGCTATGTGTTTACGTACATAATATACAACCGCTCCTAATAAAACCATAAATCTATATATCACTATATTTTCATCTTTTTACCATATTCCAAACACTCTTAAATTACCGGATTACTTTGCATTTATATTAGTATAAACATATTTTTTTTTTGTTAAATTATGGCACGTATACAGCTTTCATAATATTTTATGTCACATCAATAATCAAACCATAATAATACTAATAATACTATGTAGAAGACAATCTGAAAATTTTATATATAATATTGCAATTTTAGAACCTAATAAATTCATTCGACTAAACTTTACCCCTAAATCCAATATAACATAAAAAAGTATATTCAAGATATTGTGAATGATTTCCTCGTAAAAAGTATAACGTTTTTATTTTTTTTTTTACTTTATTATTATTGTAATATTTACCTATACCTTTCTACCTGAAAATTTGGAGCATAAAATCTTCATTTTTGAGTCGCAATTGTATTAAAAAACAGTAGAGGAAAAAAAAATTTTTTTTTTATTAGCAGCTCAGTAATGTCTTCATCATTTTGCATATTAAACTTAAATAAAGTATGACAAAATACAATTTTTTTTTTGTGTCAAAAGTCATAATTCAAACTTTGAACGGCAATATAAGAATTGCTGAGATTGTAACCATAATGTATTTCAAAATAAAAATATGAAGAGAGAACAACAAAAAAAAAACTCTTCATATTACTTCATTCATTTTTATTACATGAAATACCGAAAAAAAAAATCTCTCTTAAATACCTTGAGAATTTGAAATTTTTTTTTTTTCGAAAAAAAAAAAATAAATATTATTTTTTATTTCCTGAAAAAAAAAACAAACAACGAAGAAACAATCCTTAACAAAATGATTTTTATGCAACGGAAACAATTCGTAATATTTAGAACGGAATTTCCGTTTCAATGTCCCCTTATACAAAATCATAAATAAATATTCTTCATTTTAAAAGAAACAAAATGTTTATGATTATTCTTTTTTTTTTTTTTTTTGGTGTAGCATGTATAAAGAAAACTATAAAAACCATAATGCATTTTGCAAAAAAAAAAATTTGTAATATTAGGAAAAATTGTAATAAAAAAAAACCTGAAACCTAAACGATAATACCATTGAGGAAATGCCTTATAATAAATTAAATTCCATTTTAAACGTTTTTCGTTGACAAACGTGTGTAATGTACACAGAAAACAGGAACTAAAATTAGTCTATTCAGGTAATATGATTGCATATCCAAAGGAATATTAATATTTTTCTATTTTGTCTCGTTTTAATTTTAAAAAAACACTAACGTTTATGGTCCTCATATCTGTTCAAAGTCGCTAAAAGTGTCTCCAGCACTTTTATTTTTACATACAGCTCGTCTTCTTGCTTGATATTAATAGCGATATCTAAAGCTAACTGAAAGAAATGCAACCAGCTTGCTGATGTAGACCCTGACGGTAGGGTCAGTGTCGGTCTTGTTGTTGTTCTCGGTGTCGGTAGGGTCAGTGTCAGTGTCGGTCTTGTTGTTGTTCTCGGTGTCGGTAGGGTCAGTGTCGGTCTTGTTGTTGTTCTCGGTGTCGGTAGGGTCAGTGTCGGTGTCGGTCTTGTTGTTGTTCTCGGTGTCGGTAGGGTCAGTGTCAGTGTCGGTCTTGTTGTTGTTCTCGGTGTCGGTAGGGTCAGTGTCGGTGTCGGTCTTGTTGTTGTTCTCGGTGTCGGTAGGGTCAGTGTCGGTGTCGGTCTTGTTGTTGTTCTCGGTGTCGGTAGGGTCAGTGTCGGTGTCGGTCTTGTTGTTGTTCTCGGTGTCGGTAGGGTCAGTGTCGGTGTCGGTCTTGTTGTTGTTCTCGGTGTCGGTAGGGTCAGTGTCGGTGTCGGTCTTGTTGTTGTTCTCGGTGTCGGTAGGGTCAGTGTCGGTGTCGGTCTTGTTGTTGTTCTCGGTGTCGGTAGGGTCAGTGTCGGTGTCGGTCTTGTTGTTGTTCTCGGTGTCGGTAGGGTCAGTGTCGGTGTCGGTCTTGTTGTTGTTCTCGGTGTCGGTAGGGTCAGTGTCGGTGCCGGTCTTGTTGTTGTTCTCGGTGTCGGTAGGGTCAGTGTCGGTGTCGGTCTTGTTGTTGTTCTCGGTGTCGGTGTCGGTCTTGTTGTTGTTCTCGGTGCCGGTCTTGTTGTTGTTCTCGGTGTCGGTAGGGTCAGTGTCGGTGTCGGTCTTGTTGTTGTTCTCGGTGTCGGTAGGGTCAGTGTCGGTGTCGGTCTTGTTGTTGTTCTCGGTGTCGGTAGGGTCAGTGTCGTCGTCGGTCTTGTTGTTGTTCTCGGTGTCGGTAGGGTCAGTGTCGGTGTCGGTCTTGTTGTTGTTCTCGGTGTCGGTGTCGGTCTTGTTGTTGTTCTCGGTGCCGGTCTTGTTGTTGTTCTCGGTGTCGGTAGGGTCAGTGTCGGTATCAGTCTTGTTGTTGTTCTCGGTGTCGATGTCGGTCTTGTTGTTGTTCTCGGTGACGGTAGGGTCAGTGTCGGTGTCGGTCTTGTTGTTGTTCTCGGTGACGGTAGGGTCAGTGTCGGTGTCGGTCTTGTTGTTGTTCTCGGTGTCGATGTCGGTCTTGTTGTTGTTCTCGGTGTCGGTAGGGTCAGTGTCGGTGTCGGTCTTGTTGTTGTTCTCGGTATCGGAAGGACTAACGTCGGTGTCGTTGGGGTCTCTGGCGGTAAGGCTACTGGTGATATACTGGAGCTTGTCGTATCGTTCAAAATTGCTGCAAAGGGATCTCTTCTCTCTTTGCCTTTGCAGATTTTCGTTTACGTCTATCAAGTGATATTTTACTAGGTGCTTTATTTATAAATTTGGTTTAGCACTACTTTTTCTCCAGTATTTTGAGTACTTTTCTCTCAAACAGATCCCACACCAAACAGTGGAGTCGCCCCTCGTTCCAAAGTACTTCCACACTATTGACTTTCTATAATTGCGGTCATATAGATCTTGATAATCACTTGTGGCACTTGATGGTCCAGGTAGGGAAGTCATGCTGTTGAATAGGAGTCCGCGTTTAAGCGTTAATAAAGTATACTTACTTAAAATACTTTTTATTTTATTTTTTTTGTTTTTTTAAAAACTTTTAATTTTTGATAATTTTTGATAATTTTGATAATTTTTTTATTAAACAAGACAATAAAACAATAAACACTCCAATAAACACACCGGTCACTTTGGCGTAATAATCGAAAATTTTAGAGTTTTTATACAATCACGGGCAATAACAATTTACCCAGATTTTAAAAATGCGTATAAATTTTTAATTTTTTTAAGAATCTCAGGATTTTAGAACTTTGAATAAAATTCTAATTATGTTACTGAATTTGCTAGAATACTTAAATAGATAGAGTAATTTTTAGCTCTATGCCCACCAACAGGTTCGTCTAAACCTGTTTGACTCACAATCCTCAGGTTCTCAGAAAATATAAAATCTCGATAAATGTATAGCCTCTAAAATGCCGTCTTGTCGCTATAAAATAATAAATATATGTCTTTCTTTTAATTTGTTTTCCATAGGTCGTGATGTTGTAGCGTCACACCATAGTTTTGTTAAGCTTCATTGTGGCATTATGGCACTTCCTCTCTCCTTTCTGGTCAATCAATTTCATAAATGATCTCATTTACCTAGTAATATTAGTAGCTTCAATATTGCCAAGTCTTTAAAATATTTTTAGTCTCACTGTAGATTTGTAGATTTTAAGCGAACCGAGTGAAGCAGGAGTAACCCCGGGCCACCGTAGCCGTTCCTGACTTACTGTAGCCTCCCAATGCTCCCACCTACATATAATATCCCCGTCCCAAATATAAAGCTGAAAAAATCGTCAAAGGAGTTGGACAGCAGTTCCCAAACGCTTAGGAAACCCGTCGTCACAAAATCTGCAAAAGGAGGAGCCCGATTCACTGAGCAATGACCCGTGAAGAAATTGGAAATAGCGTGAATCCGGTTCCAGCTCATCCCAAGCAACTCTATGGTGAATCCCTAATGCATGCTGGAAGAGACCCCTTCGCATGACAACTTCAATGGCAACTTCGTTGCCCGCATGTCCGCAGACATCCTATATATTTATTCTCAGAATCGGATCACTTTCAATAAAGTCTCTGTGAGTCCTGTGGACCAACTTTCGTCCTGCCTCGTCCTCGTCAGAGAGAAGTCGGTAAGTCACTAGTCACCTGGGCACTTCCATCTCATATAATTTATATCTTGATATAATTATAAAAGCATTAATCCAAAGACATTAAAACTTACCAACACGTACCCATGTTATGTTAATTCAATCAATTTCATGTGAAATATCTTGCAAAATCTAACGTATAACAAATTTAATATGACCAAATGAAAGGATAAAATAGTTTTTTAATTATTATTTAATTATGATTTTATCTTCATATATAGAATTTATCAATAAAACGGATTGTTGCATAAACTACATGGTTAAAAATATAAATTCAGTTTAATTATTTTATTAATGCTTAAGCATTTTCAAAGTTAAGAACCGAAAAAAGCACATATTCTTAATATTATTTATTCTACATTAATGTTAACGTATAAAAAATAAGGATATTTTGATTGATTTCCTACCATATACCAAATGAAATATAAATTAATTTACCAGTAACTATCCTTGCATTCTTGTATTCATTTCATCTGCATTCACACGAACTGTAATGAGTTGCACATAGAGCACATTATAATCATTATTATTATTGTCATCCACATCGCAGAATTATTTATAAATAAACATGAGGTGTGGTGTGTGTATGGTTTAAATATTATGGTTTTCAATTTACTTTTCTATATAATGTTTTCAATTTCTATTTAATCATCCACATCTTCATTAATTTTCATTTTACATAAATGATTCTTAATAAAAAAAAAAACTGTAAGAAATATCCTTACCAACATAAAATAATTATAGAATACTGTAAAACTTCAATGGACTTCCGAAGAAAAGCGTATGGTTCCATATGGCTCTTGTATTTATTACTATATTTATTCCATATCTCTTCTTCAATTAATATAAATTCTACATTATACTAAAATATAAAAAGTTTTTGAAATGAGGTAAATAATTCAAATGGATGCTATTGAAACCGTAGCATAAATTAACCACACACATGCATTTAAATTGATTTAAATTAATTTTTATATCTTCTTCTTTCTAAGTAATAGAAATGCGGTACATTAACATATTATACAGTTCCTGAATGATTGTAGGTTGTGGGCGAATATTTGAAATAAATATAAAATTATGAAAAATATATGAGAAGTAATAATAATCTTGCTCTCTTTTTACTGTTAACTTCCTTTTCAATATTGCGTTTCGGTGGGAACGCAATCCATAGTAGAGAAGCATAAATAAACTATTTTTAGATAGTTTATTTATCGGTCGGTCTGATCGGTCGAAATCAATTTTTGAGAGATATTAGAGCTTGAGAACTGGCCTTTTTGCGGACAGATTTTACATTTTTGCGCATATAAATTGAAATAATCAACCAATTTATTTGAAGCTCAATAGGTGTTCGAAAAATCGAACTAAGCGACTTTACATTTCATATCTGCGGACTTAATTGATGGAATTTCGTCGTGTTTAATATTGGAGTTTTGATTGTTACAGAAACTAACTGTACGCGAATATTCCATTAAAGTGCAGTGAAAAAAGGTAAACAAAAATACGAGGAACTTCTCATTTATTAAGGTGTTTTCTTTACATAATAATAAAAGTAAGATTGAAATCTATAGTAGATAGGTATTTGAAAATGCAAATCAATTCGTAATTTTCTTAATAAAAAATATGCTAACATTGAGATTAACATTGTAAAAAAAAAATTGAAATTGCACTTTTCTAAACCCAAAGGTATGATGCTAAGAAAAATGATATTATAAGAAAAAAAATTCATTTTTAATGAGCTTGCACTTTTTGATTACTAATTTTAATAAAAATTTCAATATCACCTACATTATAATTCGATCCGTCGACAGAAAACTTGATGAAAACACAATATCCTCTTTAAAATTCTATTGACAGCGATAAATAAAGATTATTTTTCTATATCCTAAACCCTTATCAGAAAGAAAGAATTTCCTTTAAGAATTTTAGTTATAAAAACAAAGTTTATACTCTTTTGATTTTGAAATGTTTTGCGAATTAGGTTCGATTTTAAACAGGTAATTCTCGGAATCTTTCTCAATCTATGTGTAGGTACGATTATTTGTATGTGTAGGTATGATTGCTGTATACCTTATTTTTTTAACAAATTATAATAATTATAATTTCGTATATTTATCAAATTATATTTAGTTTATTTATCTACAAATTAAATACAATTTATGTTTGTAAAATTTATTATTCAAAATATAAATTATAAAATAATAATAATACGTTTATAAATTTTCAATGTGTGTAAATAAATTTTATTTTAATTCAAATTCTTATTATTCAAAAATTAAATTTCTTATTCCTATAATTATTTTGTTCTTACTCAATTTTTAATATTATTTCTATAACACGATAAATTTTTAAAAATTTATTGAATTTTCGACAGTTTATAAAGTTGGAGAGAGTTCAAAAGAAGAAAGAATAAAATCATCACTGAAAAATTGTGGAACAAATTCAAGATATCATGAATTTGTCGGCAATAACGCAAAAAATTGTTTCTGTCCGATTTTTTGCCTGTCTGTCAACCCATTATTGAAATGCACTCATGAGAATAGAGAAGCGCGCTTGAAAGGTGAAATTTAATATAATAATACTTATTTTGGCCGCAAACTTATCGGTTTTAGAGTACATATATATAAAAAATATTACAAAATAAATGTTGCTGCAGTGCACTGTTGAAGAATTTTCTGAAATTTTTAAAAACATCACAGACTCGGAGAAAAGTTTTTAGCTGCTACAACTTTTAAGTATTTAGAATATGCGATCACATCAAGAAGAACTTTCTCAAATTTCCAAAATTTATCTTGCTGGACTTACACGAATTTACAATAATCAATTCATTATTATTATTTGAATTTTTGAAAAAAAAACAAAGAATATTATAAAAAACAAGAGAAAAAAAAAATTAAAAAATGTTTGAGCTTCTTGTTTATATTTTTCATCTAGCTCTATAGAACCAATTATTATTAAATTACATTTTGTTCACAGACATATACATGAACATAATAGCATTGTAGTTATAATAAAAATTAAACAAAAATTTTCAATTAAAATATTAATATTATCATTTTTATTTAATAATTTATTAAAAAAATAAATAATTAATTTATTTACATATGTCTGTAATTTAATTTAAAAAACTCAAAATGAAAATATTAAAAAATTGAGTTTAAATAAATAAAATTAATCGATAAAATGCATGTGTATGTAAACATGTTCATGGTAATTAAAAATTAATGCTAAAAGTTTTGGAAATTTGCATATTACGAGTATGTCAATTCAAAAAGCATTTATTATCATATATTGGCGGATTCCTGGTGATTTGTGAACTCCCAGTGATCACAAAAAACACTTAAAACCGCTCTATCTCTTCTAGTTTAGCCAGAAAACGCGTTTAAAGTTTTGCAAAAGATTTTTTTAAATATCTCCAAAAATATTTTTACTACGGCCTATTATCATATATTGGCAGAATCTGTGAACTCCCAGTGATCACAAAAAGTTTTGCAAAAAATTTTTTTAAATATCTCCAAAAATATTTTTGCTACAGCCTATTATCATATATTGGCACAATCTGTGAACTCCCAGTGATCACAAAAAACACTTAAAATCGCTCTATTTCTTCTAGTTTAGCCAGAAAATGCATTTAAAGTTTTGCAAAAGATTTTTTTAAATATCTCCAAAAATATTTTTGGTACAACTCATTGTAATAATATATTGGTGAATCTTGCAACTGCCTACTCCACACGGAAACTTGGAATCGTTCCAATTCTTCTGTTTTAACACGAAAACTCGTGATGAGCATCATTATGTACATTCTATCCATCCAAACCGAAC